ATTCAACTTTCCAGTTGCATCCGAGATTCGTGATTTGTATTTCGTGATCTGTGCCTACTTCAACTACTGCATAAGCCTATCTGGTTGCATGCATAACACATACGCCAATCATCGAATATCTGTATGGAGGTCCAGAATTCGCTCCAGTGTGTGAATGTGATTCCGTACAATCCTGTGCCAGACCACTTCACTGTTCACTGTCTGGTTTTCCTGACCACACCGGAACAAATACCGATAATCGGTCTTACTTATTTCCTCGAACCAGGCGTCTTTTCACCGCTTTTAGCAGTACCAACCGGATAGATATTGGTGTATACACTCGATCCTTCACGGATAGTCAAATGCTGAGGGATAGCCGTGGACATTTCAAATTATCGAACTGTGATTATCCTAGCTTACGGGATGACGCATACCACGGGACGACACGTTACAGTTTCCAGGCAACTATGATGAGTCAGGCTTCCTAGATGATACCAGCAAAGCACCCACGCATTACAGCTTCTAGAGTACAAATCATACACCAATTGTGCTGACCAATGAGAAGCCGTGTGGCCCCGAGACAGAAGCTGTACGACGTCAAAAATACGAACACGCGATTGGTCGATGTCTGGATAACCAATGAACTTATTTTTTACGTTATTATAATCCCCATAATTTCTTCCAATAAAAGAACCACTGCTCCTGTGATATTTTCCTTGCGTCTCGGTTACGTGGTATACTGTCGCGCAATTGCCAATATGATTCAGTGCTTCTGTGACATTTTATTGTATTGTATTGTATTGTAATAACTTCTGCAAACATGAAGCCTAAATTTCAGTTAAAAAATGTACAGTTTGGAAAAAGGGAGAAAATAAAAATGAAAAAGGGATTTAAATCCCAAAACTGTTAATAAAGTCTGTGAAAACCTGTTCTTTGTCAAGAAGAATACGTGCTAATTAGGGTACTGTGGAGCTACAATAAATGTTTATTCCAGATGGAACACAACGATATTGTGATCTAGCTGTGGGATGGGAACAACATGAAGTTTCTGCATGTAACAGATGTGTGGACTCAGTGAGAATGCTATGTGACATTCCTTGATTGGATTTAACTGCTAATGATCGTTTTTCAAAACAGCGTTTTTAATCGGAATAAATATATCAAAATAAAATCAGAGTTGTTTGGACTTGTAATAAAAACATCTTGCCACTTGGTTACATGAATTACAAACCAATGTAAGAAAAACATCGATACTGATCATTTGACGCTCGTTCACTGTCAGAACGGTTTGTCTCTGAGGGCTTTTCTGACCTGGGGACGGATATTCTGTGGAAATCATAGTTATTCATTATTATCATTTATTTAGCTTCAACGTATTCTCCCCACTTCAAATAGATTGCCCCCCCCCTATACTTCACAGTCATAGCGAAAACATGCTGCTAGCATGTTCGGCATCGAATAGCGTGAACTCGGATTCAGACAGAAAACCCACTGAATAGCACCAAGTAAAGTAGGGACCAAGAAGAGCCAAAAGATCAGGGAAGATAACAGGGGACCCATAAAGCCAGTGAGGCAAAACGCACGCAAAAACAAAACGCCTTATTAAATAGTTTGGAATGGAAAGTGACTTAAGAGGTAAAACATAAAACATGAGCTTCCTGACCTTCAGAAAAACGTCATTAACGTGATCAGACTAGGTGAGTTTACGGTTGACAGGTATTTGGCAGACGGTTGTCACTGGGGATAGATAAAGACGGGCTGGCGTTTGATAATTCATCATACTTTTGCCCAGTGATAAAGCTGTCCTAACAACACAAATGTAAAGGGTGGGGATTCTAGGCGTACACAAATCTCGAATGGACCCAAAATAGCTTCTCGATTCCGCGGGAGAACTTTTGTTGCTCTTTTATGTTTTAGGTATGGAACGATTAAGGCGAAACGGAAATTCTAGTTAAAGTCACTAAGGCATCGCAACTTTTTGAGTGGCTTTTAATCACAAATGATTCGCTTTTCGCTGTTTATAATTACCTGTTTATCATTGTACTTTCAAGAACTGTCCTAGACGAACTACCACCGGTGGTTTCTCACCCCGGTGATTGGTTTTTCGTCCTCTCACTTTGGTTTTAGGAAAATATCTCCGCTCCACGGAAAGGCAGTGATTACGGTTTACTGCACAGACACTTGGTCGTATGTGAGTATTTCATAAGGTGCCATGTGTGTGTAGGGTGATCAACGACAATTCAAGATACCCACACCCTCGACGATTGTGAGGTTTTTGGAGGTAGATGAGGTAGTGAAGCAAATGAGATGAAGACTAAAGAGGGACAGGATACCCAGGCAGAACAGAACATAACGGTCTATCAGCTCAGAAGTGGTATGCCTATTTGCAGAATGATCTAGCAAGCTACTGTTTGACCGAATGTTCTAGACACGCGAGTATTTGCGGGCATGAGATAGTACTGAGTGGAGTAGGATGTCCTGGCGATGCTACCTAACTCAATGTCATCTACCAATTAGATCATCTAGGATTCCATGATAAAAATCACAGAACGATAGGGCCAGTGCAATCTTCGAATTTCCAGTTGAACTGGGGTTCTGATGTGAGTGAGAATCATTCCTTAGGAGTTCGATTACTCCCTGGATGTACAGATCTAATCGAAACTGAAGAAATTGGTTCCTGTGATACACTTATGGGTTCGTACAGGCAACAGCATTCATACTGGAGTAAAAATTTTTTTTCCAGATAATAGTCAACAAGCTTTGGTGAGTCTTTATAAAATCGATTTTCCTAATTCGTTCATACTCAGCTGATGGAATGGTTCAGAATGTAGTGGATATTCCCATTTCGTCAGTAGTGGTTGACCTAGACTCACACCAGTGAAGTAGAATAGGTATATACAAATTAGACTAACCGATACTCAAGGTAATTTCCAAATGAATTGCTTATACCTATGCGCTCAAAGTGTTGACCGTCTAGCTCAGGAGTAACGGTTTCGATTACGTGGGGACTTTTAGATTACCGGTTCAGTGGTCGACGAGAAGAGTCCGGTCTTGTGCTAGTCAGCTTCGCTATCACCTGGCTCACGCCTGTCCCCCTTTGTAGCCGTGGATGGTTGGCTAGTCCGAATCGCACTTGCTTTTGAGTGACTTTCTCCTATGTGAGTATAATCCAAAAAATACGTAGGTAAATCTGGGCACATGGTCCAGACTGGGAATCGAGGATACACTTCCATGCGGTACCCGTAGATCAACAGAGTGATGGCGGGCCAGAATCGAATACGTCGTGAAGATTTCCTCGAACCATTGAAGCCTTTTGCTGTAGAGAGAGAGGTCACTTGTCAAGAGAAAACCAGTCGGGTATTCGAAGCTATCACCACTGATATTCAGTGAAACAATCGATACCCGTTTACTCACGGGGAACAAGTTCCGAATGACGTTTCGCCCAACCGCGGCCTGAAGACATGCCCAGCGGTGTATAGTTCCACCTGTCATTCCAAATTCCACAACTTGGAGGCGTTTTCTGCCAATGAGACAAGATAGGATGTCGTAAGCACATGGATTAATTCTTACTTCTCGTCAAACAAATTAATGAGCGGATGTTAGAAAAGGTAGTACACCTACCGTCACCTACAACCTTCTTTTCAACGAGTTTTTTTTCAAGAAAACATAGCACCCGGTAAGGGAGACAATTGTACTTCTCTTTCTGGATGTGTGTGTGTGTATGTAAATTAGAAGGCGTGGGAGCAAATAGTTTGACAAAGATCATGTGCAAAAAAAGAGGAAGAACATGGTAACACCAGCTCACAGCATATTAGTCGAAAGAGATTTGAGGAGACGGTAGAGAGACGAGGAGAGAGAGAAAGGATCAGCGGGGAAGAAACAAACAAACAGACACAAAAAAAATGCACCGAGGAGAACAATAGAGTTGTGACGAACACAAGCGATGATGATGATGATGATGAAGTGAATGCACAATAGAAATTAGAAATGAATAAAAAATTCCGATCGGATGTTCGAAAACAACAACAACAACAACCACAGACAACAGGGCATTCAGACAATGCTCAACAGAGCTCCAAGCTAGAACAGCAGCCGGGTGGTTGGTTGGAGCGATACGGTGGATAGATGATGTGAACGGACACACGCGACGACCGGTTTGAGAAAGAAAGTCCTTATCCAATCTTTTGACCACATACCATTCAACCAAGGGAAGTGACATTCCGAAGAATTGGACAGAGGATTAGAGGGATGTGGGGTGAGGTGGGTGACATTGTCGAGAAAGTACACTGGTATCTAGGATACAAGAAGTGCTCTGTCTGGAGCGTATGTGCATTTATATCATATATATATAGCAATATATATATATATATCGATTTTTAAGTAAGTAACAGAGCTATATACACAGTTCATGGTATTTTGTGCGAAGGAGCATTGCTTCAGCGGATATGAAACAAGACACGTGTGAAAATGCCGCGGTGGCGGTGGCGGGGATGATGAAAAAATAATCATGCATTAACACGAACATGTGCGTGTGTGCGCGCGCGAGAGAGAGAGAGAGAGAGAGAGAGAGAGAGGGAGAGAGCGGTAGATAGACAAACACACCGAGATGATTGATGCTCACTGTTACGGGGTGGACAGACATCAGCGTCAAACACGTGTATTCCCTTGTTTGTTTGTTTGTTCTTTGCCCTGGTCGTAGAAAAAATTGAATTTGAAAACGGGGAAAACAAGTACCGGAGTGCGGCTTTCCGGAGTGGAGTGGACGAGAGAGAGAGAAAGAGCAAAATACCCTCATTGGACATTGTGCAGACCGGTAGAGAGTACAATCGGAATCGCACAGATGTGTGATCGAGACGAAACAACAATATGGAACAACCGGGAGGGGGGGGGGAACGAACCGGAAGAACGAACAAAAGAAAAACGTAACTGGATACCGCACACAACACATGCCGTATCACGATCACAGCCTCAGACGGGATGGGGTCGGGTGGGGTTGTATGCGTCCGGACCCGGGTGCAGATTCAAAAAAGTCGCATAATTTGACGAATCGGTAGATAGTCTCGTAGCCAGTGAAACACGGACCGACAGACTAGTTCATTTGAACTAGACATTGCTGTCGCGGATCCCGAGGTCAGACGAGTCGAATCATTCGCAGATTGTGTATCTGGCAGCCCGGATAGCAATTGTTCCCATGGCATTTGCAAGGTGAACGAGCAAAACAAAATGATGAAACCGATCAGCAAAGAGAACGCAACCAGGATTAAAAGAAACAGACTCCAACGAACAGAAAACAGACTGTACAACAGGCGGAAGAAACCGCGTAGGCAACGGGCAAACCAGTGGAGCAGATAAATGTTCGCCTGGACGAGAAAGTGGTAGGGACTATCCAGTCCATCAGACGGATGTGGGCCACCCATTCGTGTGAGTAGCTGACGTCGACGTGCGAAATCAAGCAAGCGCCGACGATTACTTCGTCCGCCGTATTCAGCTTCAAGGGCCGGACTGGGGTGTGCAGCACCGAGGGAAAAGCGAACCCGTTTAGGCGGACTTTTTACGGGTTCCCCGTCTGAAATATGGAGTGAAAGGAATGACCACATAACCTGTCTGTTTCTGTACAGATTTCTGATGAATTCATTTCAATGAGGGGACAGAGAAAATATAGGATCACCTCCTTGCGTATAGTTCACCATCAAATTAAGTTTTCCAGGCCGGAGTGGACTGGCAGTTATGGGATGAGAGAGAATAGTAAAAGTTCATACTATGTGTGCAAACAATCACCGTAAACACTAAACAGTATTGAATAAATTATGCCAGGTGAAATTTCACTTTTTTTTCAACATTCCGGAAACCAAATTGCATCATCGCTTGCTGTTAAATAAAGCAGTATCACATGTTGCGCACACGAATTTGCAGACCACAACAGTGTTTGCTTATTCGTGTTTATGTATGGATTATTCCCTCATCCACTCACTCCTCCTCACGTCCCGGTGAGCTCGTTGACCTCCAGGCGTGCGATTGCATTTTATCTACGATGGAATTTGGGAGGGGGGGGTCGCTGAACTGTTGCTTTTTGTCTCAGTTATGATGTGTCAGAAACGAGTAGAGGTGTTACCCTGCTTCTGACGTCGAATTTATCTACGATTTGGGAGTGAAAACCCATGCTCCCGAGTTACATATAGGTGAAATATTAATGTTGTAAGATACTACTTACATTTGTGAGTAGTTTGTACACACCAATAAGTGTTTATTTCGATTCACAAGGAAAATTTACCTCTAGAGTGTCGGGCCACTCCAGTAATTATCTTATGTGCTCTTGGGAGTTATGGAAGATTTGTTCCAAATGACATTTTTTCTGTGTATGCCCAGTTACAGATATTCTTGCCGTGATTCATAATAAACAAATCTCCTAATCCCGGCATCGTTTTATGGGTTTATAACACTAAAACCTGTCATGTGGGATCATCTAGGGTATATCAAGAAGCAGACTGTCAGAATCGGGGACCGATTGATGCGTCCGTGAGCTATAACGCTCAGATTACGATGCAGTCGATAGTGAGGTTAACCACAAGAGTGCAACCGGATGTTCGGTTGATGAAGCTAGCTTGTAAACAAAGCATGCAAGGTATCGCTCCTTGTGAAGTTCCAGTTTTTTCCGGATTAAACTGTTCTCGATGTAGTGAAACAGAAACAATCGGGATATCCTAATCAATTCCGGACTACACGGATTCCAGATGTGTTCTCATGTGCTGTGTGCAGATAAAATAGACTAAAATTGACTAACTCGTACGAGAACGTAAGAGTTTTTTTTCCCTGACACCTGATCGACACTCCGGGTGACAAATATGTGTGTGATATCGTCCCGGGAGATGTGGGAGGATGATAGTAGCGTGGCTCACTTCAAACGAGGTTTGGAAGACTACTTGAACAAGTCGAAGTAAATTGCGCGATCGTGAAGCGCACACATTAGATGATCCATTTGTGATCCCGCGGTCTTCGACAGAAGGGAGAGAGAAAAAAAAAAGAGGAACAGAAAGCTTGCTGCGCGAATGGGAGGCGATCTTCACTCTTTCTGCAACTGTTAGACGATTGAATTTCCCATTATGATCATACTTTGAACGACTTCAAACCTTCGGTTATTTACATGCGTCAAATTGGTACTGGTTTGGGAAGGGGATGTATGCCGTTCTGATCACAGTTATTGAAAAGACTACACAAATAGCATAACTGTTTCACTGGTATTCATTGCGCGCTACAGAACGCAACACGCGACGTACAAACAACGAAATAAACTATGGAGCTGTCCAGTTTTAATGTACTACCCATTCAGAGATGTAAACACATGCATTTGCACACTTGTGTGTGTGTGTGTGACGTGATTGGCACATGGGCACAAGTCTGTACAACTCAGAAAGATAGAGAAAAAAACAGAATTAGAGGAGTCCTAACAGTTAAACCGATTCNGTCCGAACAGTTAAACCGATTCTGATCTGTGTCTGTGCGCGTTCGTGAGAGAAAAAGCTGTACGTCTAGAGACCAGAAGAGGAGGTTGGTGGGTGTGGCCGTTAGGCGACATTAGATTGTTTTGAGTAATTCGGTTATAAGCAAATAACACGAAAACATTTCATAAAAACACATCGATCTGGCTGAGCGCCATAACCCAATGTAGGACGGAGAAATGATTACAGATACACGCGCGCGCGCACACACACACACGCACACAAACCAGACACAACCGTGGAGAATACGTGTCGAACTGAATAGCCCGCAACTGTGATTTGTCGGGATCGGGAAGAAAAGTGAATAAATCACGGTCAATGAGCAATTGAGAACAGTTATTGAATTATACTAGTAGTTTCAAATGATAGACTAACAAGTGCTGTTGCCACATTCAGTATGTGCTTTGCTCCATCAAAGTGCAAAGTGATGCTGCAGGACTGGGTGTCGCCTACTCCCGCTCTGAAACTGAATGGCCAGGAATTAGTTATGGTGGATTGGTTTTCCTACTCAGATGGTTGCGTGACCAATGACGGCAGAGCAACCAAAGAGATAGCCATCCGCATTTTCAAGATTTCGATCATCATACACAGGACTGAAACACCTTTGGCGTAGACGCGACATTTCACTAAAGGTCGTGTATATTATGCTACCGTTCGGCTTTATGGTTGTGAAACCTTACATTTGCGAGTAGAAAATATCCGTCGACTAGAAGTTTTCGATTATCGGTGTTTACGAAATTTGGCCCACGTTAGATGGAACGAACGGGTTAGTAATTTGGAGGTAAACCGTCGTCTATTTGTGAGTTTAAAGGGGATAAACTTGTGAGCACATTGAATTCAGCTTAGCAGATTTTGCTGGCTAGGACACGTATTGCGTATGCCCAGCTACCGTCTACAACATCGCGCCTGATTCGCTGTAGCCAATCCGGGGTGGAGGAAACCTCGTGGAGGTCAACAGATGACGCGGAGATTAGGCACGAAGAAATGCACAGAGCCATTAGGTCGAGTAGGTGTCTCGCGGCTTCTAGGTTGGGGTCCGAAAGACTCCGCAACTGGTTGGTTGGAGACACGGAAGGGTATAGCAGCGAACAATGACAGTAGTGGCGTTCTTGGTGTCATTTCTTATCAGGTCAGAACGCTTGAAACGGTAATGTATGCAGAGTTCGATGGTGCACTCTCTCTCTCTCTCTGTTAACCACAGTGGTTGACTCTGTTCACATATTACACATATTACCACTAACGTTTTATGCCTTACGAGTTTGGCCGCGATCGGTGAGGTTCGATTCACTATATTTCGCTGTACAATGACGAGGATGATGATAATGGTTTTCAAATGTGCGATTTAGACTATTGCACAACCTTTAACCTAAGTAATACACCAGGTCATATCGCAGAAAGCATCGATCAAATGATCGATATCAGGTTTCGAGTATGGTCAGTCGACTTTCGATGATTCGTGTTGCTTTACTCGTCGGTTCCGCTAGTCAATCTGTATCATAGGGACATAGATTTTACTCCCATTCCCGTGCATGAACGCACCGCCGTTTACTCGCAGTACAATGTTTCTCATAGCAAATTCACAGCACGACAAAAAAGATTTATTTTTAATTTGTGCGGTGCTACCCACACCAGATTGAATAACTATCAGTCAAAAAATAGGCATGTTCTTCCTTTACCAAATTGACGATCTTGTTTATCGAGACGAGGTAAATAGATACCACGGAAGCATCCCTTTTCGCTGAAAGTAAATGGAGATCTATGCAGTCGACAAAAAAAAACTTATGCTTGTCCTACCTGTGTTCAAAGAAGGCAAACGAAGTATGGAGACTCGTCTGACCAACTTCGAAGTTGGAGGTGTCGAGGGGAGTTCCTGTTCATGAGAGGAATTTTCTTCTCCATCCTCCTCGTCCTCCTCCTCGTCATCGCCGTCATCATCACCGCCCATGTCGAGGTGACGATGGTTCTGGTCCGTGTCACACTCCGACGAATCGTGTTCATTCACCTGATCACCTTTACGTTCATCGCCATTCACATTCCAGTTCGCTCCATTCACAGTTTTGACTCTCCGATCGCGAACAATCACATTATGCAACCGCAGACACGGTTTACCTCCATCCCAAGTCTCGCCCGGGGTTTTGGAAGCAGCCCCCAGTGAGCAATCGGTCTCCGTACACCAGGCATTATTTGTGTTGTAACCAGCCATCGGTACAACCCCGTCCTCCAGTCTTTCGGGGCGCCATGTGAACGGGGCAGCTGTCATTTCGGACCACATCCCGGGCAAATAGTCTTCATTTTTCCGCGTCGAGGCGATCTTGGTTGAATCCTGTCCAGTGTGGCGACAATTCGTGAGCATTGCTATTCTCTCCTCGACCGGTCCGGGTTCTCCCGGGACTGTCTCCGGCTCTGGTTGAGCCAGGTCGTGTGCATGGGCACGCAATTGTTCTTCTTTCGCGGAGAATTCGTGAACTCGTGTGAAGTGATGTTCCCCGTTCGAGGTTGGGGACGGTAGTCTGTCCACGCCGGGAACTAAATGAACAGATCAAATAGAGTGAAATTGGCGGGCAGATAGAAGGATGATCCAATGTAGATGGTGAAACACGCATACACGCCCATATGTACATTGTCAACTCCGAGGAGTGTAAGTTAAGCGCAATAAACAGTTTCATTTCCCAATGGAGACAGGACAGGAATAGCAAATGTTTAGAAACGTGTGAACGGTGAATAATTCCGTACGCGAATATTTACACATGCTGAAATGATTGTATTGCACTTGCTAATCAGGTGTGTGTGTGTGCGCGTGCGTGTATGATAAGTTAAGTGGATAACAGATAGTGAGCACCTGGCGGCATCTATTGCTCCTCACTCGATTAAACAACCACATAAGGCATGTAGTAATGAATTAAAAACGGAACCGAGAACGGAAAAAGATCCATAGTCGTAGCCTAGGGGTGACAACTTCAGTTTTCATAACCAACAGTGTTGCACTTTCAGTCGAACCATAACCCCGAGGGCTAGTAAAGATATGAGCGAGGCGCGATGCCCGCAAAAGCTCGTAAAGATCGGTTGTGCTGTATCGTATCAATGAATTCCCGCTGGTCGAGTGGCTAGCAAGCATACGTTCTATCTGTGAGGTCCCGGGTTCGATCCCCAATGGGGTCGACGGATTCACACTGGTGATGAAACCCAACCGAATTGAAACAACAACTGTCCGGTGCTTCCTAACTTTTCAGTTCATGCTACATTTGCTTTATATACGACGAATTTTCCCTTGTAAAAAATTTTGACCGATGAAAGCGAGAGTGAGATTAAACACAGATAGATCCATTTGTATTTCCGCCGGTTGAGGGGGGCAGGGGTGGAGCGGAACGGGAATCAAAACACAACAAGTCTATCACTAAGCTCAGTTATGGATTACGAAGAATACAGAAAAGTGTGACACAGAAACGAAAGGCGCCGCGCAAATGTTCAGACAATCACCCCCCCCCCTGCAAACCCAATGATTGTGAAATGATACATGGTTGCTTATCGACTGTGTTCCCGTACGCCGGTATGCGGTGCCACGTTTTTAATAATAACATACATACACACAAAGGTGACTGACGAGAGTTTTCTTTTCTTATGAATTTTTACTCCCTTTTATTGAACAAGTCATGATACAAATTTCAGAAAGCGGCCAATCATCAATGGACAGCTATTCTACACACACATGGGGGAGGGGAATTCAGGCGGTGGTGGTGGGATTCGAACACACATCCTCCAGGGTGATAACTGAGTGACGTTACCACCGGGCCACCACAGGCCCATAGATTTGACACATGGTGTGTGGAGTGTGCGCTTTTGTCTATCGTGAATCAGGCGGATTGAAATCGGACTGTGAGCAATGACAGATTTGATCAGTTGGCTCGAAATCAAGATATGCAAACACGGCTAGGCCTCTGAACTCCCAAGGGTTCAGTATAATATAAATAAAGGAATGCATTTATACTACTCCTGGTCGATTATTAAGCTGAAAAATCAGATAGACTGGGTATAGTAACATAACAAGATAGTACTGTGATAATCAACAAAGAGCACTGGACAGCTGTTTCGTCCCATTTGGGACTCGTCAGCAGTGCGTACTTTTTGTGTCCCCGGGTCAGGACTCGAACCACAAACTTTCGGGTTGGGACTTCAAACCCTTACCCCTGAGCTAAAAGGTCGGCGGTCGATGATTTTTTTTAGAGTAGCAGGCTTGGATTAGCCTATTCGATTGTTAAGAGGCACCAGGCACTCTTGATTGTGGTGGGCTAATCCAAGCGTTTTACTCCCAAAAAAAACAGTATTGTGTTATACGAGTGATATCTGGCGAAATGAATTGTGTGACAGTGGGGTCATGTGTGATGCGAAGACAACAGTTTTTTCCCTCCCGAATGTTACTGTGTATTTTAAAGCATTAAGAGAAATATACATGCCATTATCGTGGCAGCAGTAGTGAGGTAAGGCATTACTAACATTTATGTTAGTAGTATACATCGTCCCGGTACTTAGCTTGTGGAACAGAGTAGCACCAATAGAAGTACGTAGCTTATCAAAAACTCAATCAAACCAAAGAACACAACACTGCAATCGAGCATAAATAAGTTAATCCATTAATTGCTCGTCATATGCTGCAGACTGGTTCAAGTGGTGACTGTGTTTACGGTAGCAAATGAGACCACGGTCCAGATGAACAAATTATGATTGATGAGACTAAGATCAACGTCTTTACTGGACGATGCGAGGGCAAGGACGAGGACCGAAGAGCGGGGTGGGGTGGGGGGACGTGGAAGACTAACTGTCCCAACAAAGCAAAGTAGTCTCACTGTCCGACATGTAAATATACACATGTATAAACAGACGGGAATTGATGTGGGTCGTTGATTTCCGGTTGACACGAGGATTAGCACACCTATTGGGGAATGGGGTGTAAAAGTACATTCGAGTCTCGTCGGTCCATCACACAATAATGAAGTGAACACACTCGACTGATAATATACACAGGCACACACACACACACACACATGCACACGTGGACAAGCAATCAAGGACACGGACAGGACTAACACGAAGAAAGTACAGCAATGATTAAAGAGACCGAAGAGAAAAGTGAGCGCGCGTTTTGCTGGTGTCAACATGGCATGGTAACATGAGAGTGTTTGGCTCATCACAAATGCACACACACACACACACACACACACACACGATTAAACAATACTCTGACACCTTTGGTGTGAATGGTATGGGGATGAGGGGTGGCACTCAGTCGTGAATAATCACAGTCGACTTATCGAGAGACGACACGAGAAAGAAGTCAAGCCTAATGACCTTTGTGAGTCAGTCTTTTCTCTCCCTTCCCCACTCCACCCGCAACCGCTCTCACAACCCCAGTCACTTCAGTCGCGAAGACCAGAAACCGAATCGAAGTGACCATACCGAGAGCATCGGAAATAGTGAGGGTCAACTGTTACCACGACTAAGAAACAGCATTGAGTACTAGCGTTAGCCAACAATAACATGGAAAGTTTTGGTAGGATCCGAAATAATCGAGCGACCTCAGTGAATGAATCGAACAAAACGGAGCATTCAGTGCTTTTGGGGCAAGTTTTCGTGAACGCGTACACATTACGCGCCAAAAGAACGCGTACACACTACGCGCCCATTCCTGGGATATTTCAACTTATCTATACATTTTTTAGTTTAAGATGTCCGGAATCCAATTAAGATGTCATGCTGCCATGTTTTCACTCTGCACTGTGCAACGCACTATCCACACAGCAACATGACATCTTCATATTCATATTGTGACATCTTAAATTGGATTTCGGACATCTTAAACTGAAAAAGATATAGACTCAACTGCACTTTTAAGCAACATAACCCACGATTGTATGTATGAACGAAAAAAAAGAAATTTTTTTCGACGTTCCGTACCATATAAAGTTCACGTGATGCTCAGTAGCGCTCAAATTGGAATCGGAGAGATCACACCACGAGATAGTGTAAACAAGATTTGACATGTATCCTATATTTGTGCAATTTTATTCGACAACGTGTAAAGTAAGTATGGTTTCATGACTGGATAGGGCTCCCGTACAGGCTCAAAGAAACGGGATGCGGTCGATCGAGGGCTTTCGGGGGAGAAAGTAACGGACTCGGAACTCGTGAGGCAAAAGACGATGCGCAATGCACGCGCGCGCATATGACAATGTGATAAACTTCAGGACAGTAGTTCCGAAAAAAATAGAAGAATCAATGGAATTCATTGATCGTCAGAACAGACGACAAAATTATCACGTGTTGAATGTTACACATTTAATCTTTGACGTTCTTTTCCAACTGCTACGTCCAATTATTTTGGTCGCTAAAATGCTCAGTTTGAGTTCCAATGATACATGTGAATTCATTGCATGCATTTGGATTCTAACACACACACACATGCTGCATATTCTCTCATTCGAAAATCGAAGGAGAGCTGATTCTGCGATATGACCCGGTGTGTGTATTACTCCAATTACAGGTTACACAATGATCTGAATCGAACGTTTGAAAACTCCTCATAGTTGTACTCAATTATGCATTTAGGTGCATTCGGTTTCAACGAAAAGTCAACAGGTGCCCACTTCAGATAGTTCTTGTCAAATAGATGTGACTGGATCTGCAATTCAGCGAAGTAAGTATAATTTGAAAGCACAAAAACCATGACACTACGTTCGAATACGAGGACTTAGCAATAGGTTTCCGGATACACGAAAAATTTTATTTTCTGTTTTTTTTACGCATCTCGTTTTCTCGAACGACTCTCTAATAGTGTTGTTCATGCACAGCACAGTTCTATGCGCTCAGACCCAGTTGGTGAAACAGTTCGACCATGGTGAATTGAGTAAACACCATTCGACCGACCAGTTCAACGAAAGCCTTCAATACAACTGTTGGTGACTCGTATCGGATTACCGATCAGATCATGCGCTGAACAATTGAGAAGGTAAAAACAAGTCACACAGAGCCAGGTCTGGACTGTCGAGTGGGTGATTACCCGCATGGATGTGTTCTCTGGCCAGAAAAGTGCCGACGACATGGGACCTGTGTGCAGGTGCACTGTCATAGTGTAGCAAAGTCTCTCGTGCTCGGGTCCTTGAACGAGACCTCGCAACGGCCAAATGTACCTTGGTTTTCTACTCCTCAGTAAGGTCAGAAAAAAAAATCCGGAATCGGTAAGGAATTGTCAGGCGTTAAAAGCAAGAACCAAAGAAGAGAAGTCACCAACACACTTTCAATACAGAGGTTATAAGCACAAGGAGAAAATGATCCAAGAGACGAGAGATTTGAAGGTGGGTCACAAGTTTCAACGACTATCAGAATGATCGAGCCGAAACAGATCATGACAGTTTTGATAACGTCAATAATGGTAGTGTATGCTCAGAACACCGTTGACTTAATCTGTGATCAGAACGGGAAAGTGTGGATGGATGTAGTGGTGTGTCAAAGAGATTTTGCAAATCATCTGGGCT